CTCTCTCTCTCTCTCTCTCTCTCTCTCTCTCTCTCTCTCTCTCACACGCTCACATGCAGCCTGAGGCCATAGGACCCAGCGCACCTCTATCATCACTTTCTGGAAGTCGCCTACTGACATCTTCATCGTCCCAGTAGGGTTCAGGCTCTTGAAGAAGTCCTCCACCGTGATTTTGTGCTGGTCTGCATAGCTCTGAGAGAAGCAGGAGAGACCAGGAGCAAACACTTGGCTTGCTTTCTTTATTTTTTATGATTGCACTTTAGGTTCTGGGGCACATGTGCAGATCATGCAGGACTGTTGCATAGGTACATAGATGGCAAGGTGGTTTGCTGCCTCCATCCCCGTCACCTATGCCTGGCATTTCTCCCCATGTTATCCCTCCCCAACCTCCTCACCCCCTGCTGTCCCTCCCCTAGCCCCCCTCAACAGACCCCACTGTGTGATGCTCCCCTCCCTGTGCTTGTGTTCTCATTGTTCAACACCTGCCTATGAGCCAGAATATGTGGTGTTTGGTTTCTGTACTTGAAACACTTGGCTTTCTAAAGTCGATCACAGATCCCCCTTCCCTCCCCCAAAGGCCGGCCCACGCTTCCAGGTGGCTGAGAAGGGCAGAAGGCCAAGGTGAGGAGCCTGTGTCTCCCGGGTGTTGGCCGTCCCCTAAGACCAAGAGCCGAGTGCAGGCCCACCAGGCCTGGCAAGGGTGCATGCTGGGATAGTTCTTGTGTGCTCGCTAGGCTTCTAGGAGCCCCTTGGCACCACACAGATGCTCCCTCCATTCCAAAGGTGGAAGGATGGAGATCAAGGGTGTTCAGGCGCCGCAGTGTCAAGGGGATGGGGGCAGTGATCCTATCTACATGCATGATCTGTTAACACTGGTATAGACGGTGTGCTGTGGATAGCAGGTGGATGGTCGGAGATCAGGAGGTTAAACCACAGCTGCATAATGTGATCATCGCTCTACGAATTCCTAGGATTCTCACAGTTTCACATCAATGCTCATATGGAAACGTACTTTGTCAGACTATTTTTAAAACAGTATTTCGTTTTTTTTTTTTTTNAAAATTAAAACTCTGTTCTCTGCTCTTCAATCAGAGCTGATAAAGTGGCAGTGTGAATCAGGTGCGGTGGCTAACACCTGTAATCCTAGCACTTTGGGAGGCCAAGGTATGTGGATCACCTGAGGTCAGGAGTTCGAGACCAACCTGATGAACATGGAGAAATCCCGTCTGTACTAAAAATACAAAATTAGCCGGGCATGGTGACGCACGCCTGTGATCCCAGCTACTCAGGAGGCTGAGGCAGGAGACTCATTTGAACCCAGGAGGCGGCGGTTGCAGTGAGCCAAGATCGAGCCATTGCACTCCAGCCTGGGCAGCAAGAGCGAGACTCTGTCTCAAAAAAACAGATAATAAAATAAAAATAAAATTTAAAAAACAGTGGCAGTGTGTGATCCGAGGGGCAATTTGAGGTGTCCCCAAGGGCCCCCTGCACAGATGCTGAGACTCAGGGACCTAGACCCCAGTTCTGTCTCTCAATGGTCACGTGACCTTGCCTACAAACCTGGAGACTGCTGGGCATGGGACCTGGTCTGGAGCCTCTGAAATGGGCACTTGGCATTAGCTTCCCCAGGAACAAGAGGTGCCACTTTAGGTAGAGGGGCAGGTGAGGAGGCATGGGACAGGCCACTGAGCAGCACAAGAGTGGGAGGCGCGATGGTAGTGGGCAGGCCTGAGCCACCCTTGGGGCGCCCTTGCTGGATGCCAGTGTCACCACTGAGTGACACCTCCATGCCAGCCCCTGTGTGCATTTCCCCCACTCACTCCTTACAACCTCCTCCCAGGGGCCGCGGTTCAGGGGCCGCAGTTATCTCCCCATTTGAAAGGGAGAGGAGCCCTATGCACAGCTGCAGCCTTGTTCAGCAGAGTGGGGCTTGCAGCTGGGTCGGGCTGCCTTTCCTGTCTGCATCGTGGTTTCTTCACGTGGAGGGCGCTGAGTGAGGCAAAGAGGTCCTGGGAGAAGGCTTGTGGGGCAGGGCCAGAGGGGGCGGGGCCACGTCACGTAGAAGCTCCTAAGAACATAGGCCAGCCACAGAGCCACCGAGACGGAGGGGAGCCCAGCTGCAGACTCATGCTTGGCAGGGGCCTCTGTGTCCTGCGCCTGGGCTAAGAGGTCTAGCACAGTGAGAGACAGAACAGCTGTGGACTCCTCAGGCCTAGAGTCATGGCCAGAGCTGTGAGAACTTGGCTGCTTTCCCTCCTTCCCTCCCGCTCTCCCTCCCTTCCTTCCTTCTCTCCCTCCCTCCATCCTTCTTTCTTTTCTTTTCTTTCTTTCTTCTTTCTTTCGAGACAGGGTCTCACTTTGTCACCCAGGCTGGAGTACAGTGGTGCAGTCTCGACTCAGTGCAGCCTCTACCTCCTGGGCCCAAGCGATCCCCTTACTTACTTCAGCTTCCCAAGGAGCTGGGACTTCAGGAATGTACCGCCATGCTCGGCTAATGTGGTTTTGGTTTTTAGTAGAGACGGGGGTCTCGCCGTCTTGCCCAGGCTTGTCTCGAACTCCTGGGCTCAAGGGATCCTCCCATTTTAGCCTTCCCAAGTGCAGAGATGATAGGCATGAACTACAGCTCCGGGGAACCTGGTTTCTTTGCTGCACTTACTAGAGCTCTGTTTCATCACTCGCTAAGTGGGTGATGGCAGCACTGCCGTGGGGCACCATGAGGCTGCAGAACATGCTTGTCTGGCAAGTGGGAGAGGGTGGGCGTGTGGTGGGCTTGGTGTGGGATGCTTACTGGCATCACCACCATGACGGACCTTCCCTCTCTCTTCAAGGAGTTTGGCCTAAGATACAACATCCCTCACTTGCCAACTGATGGCAGAGCGGAGGGACCTGTAGTCCCTGACGCACCGTGTGCCTCCGCCCTCTGTCTAGGTCTCTGTCTTGCCAGGCTGGGCTGCAACATTGCTGCCTCCTCTTTGGGCTGCAGGGGTGCCTGGCAGACACACCTATGGCTCCTCTCACCCCACTAGGGCCTAAAGATCCCTTGCGGACCCTCTTCCTGGGCTGCGAGTGTGGGCTCCAGCTCCTCCTGCCGGCTTCCCCCAGCCTCCAGCCCAGCAGCGCCAACTGGGCTCAAGTTTCGCTAAAGAAGTGAACTGGGAATGAGAAGGAGGGTAGGCAGCGCGGCCTGGCCTTGGCATGCAGGGAACAGGCGGGCGGGTGAGGCTCCAAGTAAGAAAGTGTAGACAGGGCGGCCAAAGGAGCTCCCATCAACCCAGCCAGGGCTGTGCAGGCAACAGGGAGCGTCACGGGGCCTGGGCTGACCTGAAGTTCACCATGCCTGTCTTCTCATCCAGCCTCTTTATCAGCTCCCTGACCTGGTACTGGTTCAGAGGGACCTTGTTTTGCTGAGGAGGAGGATAGAACATGTGCAGTTAATAAAACTCTGTTCACCCCCACCCTAGGTACCTCCCCACTGCCTCTCACACATGCACACACACTCCCCAAACAATGCCTCACTCCTCCTGGGACCGCGGATGGTGACTGATCGAGAGCTCAGGGGAAACTGATTCCGCAGCATGGAGGGGCTGGAGAAAGCTCCTCGTCCATGCGCCATTGTTCAGACTCCAAAGGGCCTCCCTTTTCTGGGGGCAATACGGGAGGAGGAGATCAGAGTCAGGTGGAGTGAGTGGCCGGGGGAGGGGACAGGACTCTCCTTTGCAGCCTGTGAAGTTCATTCTCACTCCCTGCCATTGGGTCCTGGCCAGCCTCTTCACCTCTGGCCTGGGCACTGGGCACTGGGCACCGACTGTCTTATCCATCCCTGCCCGGGTCCCCGGGAACTTCTCCTCTGGAGTCCTATTCCTACAGGGTACAGTTCTCTCCTGGGATGCTCCCTTCAGGTATGCATTACAGGGGGCTTTTGGCACCTTTATGACATGTGGAGTGAGAGGAATGTGGGATTTCAGGCAAAATGACAGGCCCAAGGTGGAACTTGGGATTTTGGGATGTGGTCTCCTCCCACTTCCTTTATTATCTGCCCAGTAGTGAAATGCAATGGGGAGAAAGACCTCCAGATAGAACGTGCATCTCTGGGTGGCATCTCGGGTCATCGGTGGCATCAAGCCACAGCACAGGAATGACTTCAGCAGGGGTTGGGGGAGGTCTTGGGCTCCCCTCCGGGCCTGGAGAAATGAGGGGTGTCCCACAGCCAGTCCCAGGAAGTTCTGGGAAGTGCTCACAAGCTCT